ACTTCTTGAACTTAATTGTTACTTTTGCATTGCTGCATTCAGATTGGAAAGAACTCTCGTGGAGATGTGACTATCTTGCCAACTCTTGTGATAAACAACAGGCAGTACAGAGGTATAACTCAAAGTATTCAAGTGAGACTGTGAGAGGGTGCCTAGTTTAAATGAAAGAGATTCTTGACTTTTAGTGTTATCTACCTTGTAGGCAAGTTGGACAAGGGAGCTGTTCTGAAGGCCATTTGTTCAGGTTTTGAGGAGACAACTGAGCCTGCAATTTGCTTAACTGATGGTCAGTAATCTTTGATCATTACTTTAGCTTTGACGACATCATAAATGTACCAATTGTCATTCTTGCAGACCCTGTTTATGCAATTAATCATTTTTATAAATTGGGGAATCATACTTATTTATTTTTTATATCAAAGGATCCTGAGTTTTTTCTGTATTTCAGACTCGAAAGCCACCAAGCAGTGCTTACAGATCTTGCTCTAGCTTTATCTGACATATTCCAACTTGTGATTTGTTGATACACAATACTTACTTAGCAATTATATCAAAACAATAATTTTTGGTCAAAATAGGCTTCAGGATAGTACACAATCTCTATGATCTCCGATAAGGTGGTAGTCACAAGTTGTTTTGCATTTCTCAGATATACAAACAAATGAGTGCTTAGAGTCCAATGGTGGGTGCTGGCAGGACAAAGCTGCTAACATTACTGCATGCCGGGTATCCAGTCATTTGTCTGTTAACTACTGATATGATAGCATTATTTTGCATCTTTATGTCTAATTTAGTGCTAACTAAATTTCCTATGACATACATTATTATGCTCCAGGATACTTTCCGTGGGAAAGTCTGTGAATGCCCGACAGTTCAGGGAGTAAAATTTGTTGGTGATGGTTATTCTCACTGTGAAGGTACTTAAGATTCTTATGTTCAAAATCTTGGTCACATAAAGTCTCCACTGTGATGCATGAGCATTTTTTCAGAGGCTTAATCTTTTGCGCTTTTTGTGTGACAGCATCTGGAGCATTACGCTGTGGATTAAACAATGGAGGTTGTTGGAAGGGAACCAAGGATGGAAGGACATTTTCTGCCTGCATAGTAAGAAGGCTCCATTCAAGCATTATTACCTTCCACTTGAATTTACTCTCCGGCGTTCCCCCTTTTTTTATGGGGATGCTTACCTCCTTCCTATCATCTGGTTTTATTGAAGCAGCAGACTGAAACATGAAATGTTTTTGTTTCTTAATTTTTTTTGAGAATTGATGCTATAAAATTAGTTCTCTTTGAATTACCCCCTCTTTTTCTGTCCTTCACAGGTTCTAACTTTAGTGATTTAAATTGAGTTATTTCTCTTTGATTTACCCCATACTGTCTCAATTTCATTCCGTGAACAGGGACACTAAATATTTTATCCCTATCTTGTCAGGATGACCACACAAAGGGTTGTAAATGTCCACCAGGGTTCAAAGGAGATGGAGTGAATGTTTGTGATGGTACAGAAAATCTGCTACTCAATATAATTTCATTTTTCGAAATTTGCTGATGTTGTTAGCATTTATGGTATAACTCACAGTTTTTAGCTATATTATAATCTTCTTTTACACTAACCTACTTGAGGTTTTAGATCTTTGTTTGCAACAAAAAGTTTTCCGGACTCTTCTTCTTTGTAGAACCGTCATCTTATTCTCCGTGACTCCGTCCTAGAAAAACATTATCCTGTATATATCCCCATAGAGATGTATAAATAGGAATAACCTTGCTCTTTATTGTGTACTCCCTCTTTACCATTTTATGTGTCACACTCTCCTTTTTAGTTTGTCCAATAAAATGACACCATTCTTTGTTTTGATACTATTGGAATTCTTTACTCCATAGAGATGTATAAATAGGAATAACCTTGCTCTTTATTGTGTACTCCCTCTTTACCATTTTATGTGTCACACTCTCCTTTTTAGTTTGTCCAATAAAATGACACCATTCTTTGTTTTGATACTATTGGAATTCTTTACTCATTTTATCCTTGATGACATGACCTGTTGGGACCCTTTGATATAAGAATTTTTTTCTTTATAAGAAGAGAGAGAATGAAAAGACATGTGGAACTATCACCGGTTTTATTTAAAAGAATTATTTTTGTAATACACATATTTGGTTTACATGTTAAAAGCTTTTGTTAATTTACATATCCAGTCTAACAAGGGAGTACCAATATGAATAATAATTTGATGAGATCCAAAGTTTTTTAATTGTACTACTTCCCCCTTTTCAGATATTGATGAATGCAAAGAAAGGCTGGCATGCCAGTGTCCAGATTGCAAATGCAAGAATACCTGGGGTGGTTATCAATGCAGTTGCAGTGGCAATTTATTGTACATGCAAGAACATGACACATGTATAGGTAAGTTTTAACTTCTCATACATGTTTCTAATAGATTAAAATATGGATGAAGCTAGTTAAATGTTGATATGATGGTTGTGATGCTCATTTAGATGCTTTTATCTATAACAGAATTTGAATTTCACGAGCAGCTTTGAGCTACTGTGATTTCAAAATCTGTTGTATTTTAATCTGTAAATAATTTTCAAAAGCTGCAGGCAATGATGGAAAAGCAGCATTTAGCTGGGGTCTTGTTTGGGTTATCATCTTGGGTTTGGCAGTTGCAGGAGTTGGAGCATATGCCGTGTACAAGTATAGGATCCGGGTATGTTTTTTGTTATATGTTCTTATTTCATCATCTTTTGTCACTTATGACCTTTGGGTTTGGGTACACCACCAGAAATTGGAAATCTAGCAGTAATGTGAGTTAGGTTACCGCAGTTATTCATTAATGAAACTTTTCAAAGTGACGTGGAAAGAAAATGGCCTTCCAGAAGAGACATACAATACTGCAAATGCCAAGATAACCTATGATTTGGATACTCAAATAAAAACAACTTCACTTCTTCTCAAAGAGGGCAGGTGTTTCTTAAGAGCTTGAAATGTGAAAATCTAATCATTCGAGTCCCCCTATTGCAGCTAAAATCCGTTGAGCAGTAGTCTATTTTGTTTTGCTCAAAGCTCCTCAGTAGTTTGATGAGAAGGGCAAGTAGTTCCCTCAAAAGAAATCTTAAGAATAATTTGTGCTCGCTTTGTACAAGCTTCCAGCTATTGTGCCCTCTTAGAATAAATGGAACACCTGAGTTTCTATGAAGAAATCTCAGGAAAGAAATGAATTAACTTCTTTTAGAGACGCTGTAGGAAACAACTTAGAAATATTGTTATGTATTTGTTCCTCATAGGAAAAAGTCGTTCAGGTTCATTCTGGTCTCATCCTGTGCTCTGCAACAGCCATATTTTGGCATGTTTATCAGTTATTGATCGAGTGTTCATATTCCTCTTTTCTCACCTAGTTTTTTATCCTCCTGGAATTTTAATCATGAAACTAGTATGCACAGATACGCGGCCATTGCCTTTGATGCAGTTTTATGTGGAATTTTAATCATGAAACATGTATTTGATGTTATTTTTACCTTTCCTGATGTATATAATCCGAAAACCTTTTTATATGCAGAGATACATGGATTCAGAGATCCGTGCCATCATGGCACAGTACATGCCTTTGGATAATCAGGGAGAGGTGCCTAATCACATATCCCACGGAAATGTCTGATATTATTCCATTGGTGAAGAATGATTGCGCGGATAGAATGTAACATCAAGTGATATCGCGATCAGCTTTTTTTCCAGTTGTCACGAGGTTCTTTATGCTTGTGTGATTCTAGTGCAAACTCTCACTGTCCGGTGAAGTCCTATTTATGTATATGTTCATCATAACAGTGTACACATAAACTCCCAATTATTATAGGGGAAATTTTCCAAACATGCACTATGGTCCTGAGCTTAATGAAGGGAGAAATTTCTTAGGAACTAACTTTGTGCCACCATAGATAATGTTTGCAGCATGAACACGATGGATGCCGTAAATAGAAAAATTACGTTAGTTAAATGGAGATTACTCTTTCTTATGCGGCGATTTATAATTTTTATTTTTTATGTGGTTGACCAAACACTTGATTATGTGTTGGAATTAATTACACTAATCCCTCTCCACAAATCTCAAATGTGATTTCCTTAAACTATATAAATGTACAAAATGAGATATACATATATCATATGGTGTCATTATAGCGACTATTTTAACGTTTCTTCACATTAGCATATAGATATTAGTATATAGCATGTTGTTAACAGCACATGAGGTTTATAATTTTTAGTTTTTTCACTTCAATGGAAGTTTACTTATAACAAAGAAGATTCAGTGGGGTTTCAAACTTGAGACCTCAACAAAGAAGTCCCAAGCCCAAACACTAAGCCACCCTGTAGGGTGATTAGCCTCCATTTTGCCCATCACCCTCTCATGCATGGACCTCTTAATATAATTAGAATACTTATGTGTACCTGATGTTTATATAAAATTATACTCATCAATTTACCATGAATAATAGGGTGAGAATATGTATCATTAAGTAAAGATAAATCCATGCATAAAACACATATCATGCACTTATTGATTGATTTGTTGTAAACGTCATGTACATGTAAATATTTTTACTAATAATGTATACCTGAGAAACAAAAAGGAAAGACCAAGGAGTCAAGTTTTCATATTTCTTCAAGCTAGCACTGCAAGGAAATTTCAACTAAAACTGAGAAATAGTAGCTAATCTCAAGTTGATGAAAATGTGGTCAAGATGTCAAAAGATCTGACCAACAAAGAACCCCAAACTGTGGTCCATAACATTACAGTCTTGTCCTTGAATACAACGTGACAATTTATACATGGGGTAAAAATTGAGAGGAACAAAATACACTGAACCAACAAACTACAGCGACACATACTACTCCTAGTTTCAATGTTTAGTATATGTACATATAATGTAGATACATGTCCATTTTTCAAAGAAATTAACTTAATAAGACATAGGTTGAGTTAGGCACCAAGCTAATAGGAGTCTTCTCAGGCGAGTTTCCTGTTAACAAAGTCGAGGTACCCCTGCCACAAACCACCATAGTTATTGTATTACAGAATATAACAAGCCTCAAGTAAAACCATATTTTCGGCTTCCTTTTTTTTTCCCAGATAAGAGGCAAAGCTAATCCTAAAATGAATTTAACTGAAATCGGAATAGTGAAAATATATTGTTCCTCTAGTCTGAACTTTGAACAAATGAAATCCTAACCAAACCACAATTCAACTAGCCCAAATAAGAAAAAAAAAAAAAAAAACAAGAAAAGGAACAAAGCAAACAATTATGGGCAAAGAGCTGCCTCCATTACTCGAGTTTTTAGTTGAAAATAAGTAGAGATTATTTCAGCTAAGCATTGCAAGATAATTTTATTTTTGTTCAAACAAAACTATTTTTTCTCAGATGAGAAGTTTTTCAGAATATTTCAGCCTGAAATCTATTTAACTGAATGTTTGCTGATTAATAAGGGTCTACTCTAAGTGCAGAAATAAGGTAAGATCTTTTATTACCTGAAGTATTCCAACTGCTGCAAATTTGTCTAACATGGTCTTCGACTGTGTTGGGTGAAACTTTAAATCTTGTAGTAAGAACTCGACATTCTGAAATCAAGACAATACATATAATTGTTGGTCATTTTGCATATCAATAAATAATATTAAATGATCAAAGACAAAACAGTTATGGGGGTCGGGGGTGGGGAGCAATGAGATCAATCTAACGTCAACTAATAAAAACTAAAGGCAAATTACAGAAGAGGTAATTCTTTACAGAAGCAAAAGCTTGTCTTTTATAGTTATTTAAGGAGTCAAACAGTGATGGCCTAAATCGTTCGTTTACATGCAATTATAAGTCAACCTAGACCCCCCACTTGGTGAGATTTCACTGGGTTTGTTGTTGTTGTAAGCTCAATCATCCTCCATAAGTCCGTCATCTGATGTTATTTTGTGGTGTGAGTGTTAAAATAACCTAGTCGCAACCTTTCGATACCAAGAATTGTGTAGTATTATCTTTGATATCAAGATATAACTAATTCGCGATACTTTTTACAAAGTTAAAAAGTTAAGAGCACATACCTTAGATGTGAAGCATTCATCCCTAAAGGTGTAGTTTACACCTCTAAGCTCCCCTGTCCGACAAAGGTCGTCAATGAATAACTTCACCTGCACAGCCTGACAAAGACAGACAAATGTTTATTTCAAATGACGCTAACAAAGTAAGCTAATCATTATCAAAGTGGAAAACATACATCTCGACTAATTTTTTGTCTATCAAATGGATAGCCGAAAACAAAGGCCCCCAAGTTGAGTTCAGAAACCTGCACTTAGAAAAAGGAAGACAAGAATTACGTGAAAGGAAAAGGGAAAAGGGATGATGAAAGTTTGCATTTTGCAGCACCATTCATTACTATTTTTGAAAGCAAGTTTTATTTTCATCTAAAGCAGATGTATCTACCATGCATATTCAAGTAACTTAGAACGCAACTGACTTTAAACTTCTTTATAGTACCGCAATAGTAAAATGTGGAGAAAAGAGAGAAACTGAATGGAAGGGAGCAGGGTTTATAATAAACGGTCGTCTTTTGCAAAACAATTGTTCGAAATTAGAATCTCTCAACATGTAACTGCTCATGCTGAATTAGATTATAAGTAGCAGAAGTCAAGCAACAAAACTATTTAGCTACCTAAGAAACCACAATCGTCAGAAATTGTGGGTTAACTATATAATGAACATTACCAAACCCTGTAAATCTTTGGCCATCAAGTCAATATTTGTTTTCTTGCGGAGGAGAACACTGCATATACCCAACATTAATGTCATTTCTTCTGACACAACAATGTAATAAAAATGAACATGGGGCATAATTGTTTCAACATAATCAAAATTTAAGATGTCACAGAGAAGCTACATTACGCGAGAGGTGATGCAACTTTATTTGTTGTGTCCGAAACAGCTAGACCAACGTACTTATCACCCACATCCAACCCAAGAATACGGCCACTTGCAAGTGCATTTGACTTCAGTAATTCATGAAACAAGTTGGATGGCTTCAAATACCTCATCTACAAAAGTACCAACCAATCATTTAATTTGTGAAACACTTACTTTGGATTCAAGAAAATTTGTTTCATATTGGAGGCATAATGCATCAACACTGCAACCAATTAGCATGGGAAGATCACTACACCTTCACTTGGGCATTTTTGTGAACTCTTGAAGGATAACATTATCAACTTACCCATAAACAGATCAAAGATGCTCACAAATTTGAGATAATCCTAAATGTAAACACAGTGAGTTTGGAATTTCACTAGGACTGATATTCAATACATATCCAAAAATAAATAAAAAGTTATTGGAGCACATTGCAAAAATATAAACATTGCCACAGCCAAGAAGACAAGAATCTCATTTGCAAGAATACTAATTGAGGTTAATGTTACCAAGTCCCTACCTAATGAGATTACTTGTATTGGATCCAAATGGTAAGAAATTTCAGCTACCAGTCATCTATGATTGGGAACCTAAATTCTGCCCTACATGTTTATGGACATAGTTGCCCTCCTAAGGGAAGGGAGGAAGCTAAAGCACCAAATGAACAACTTAAACACAGGCAGGAACCAGGGAGAGTGGTTCAGGAAATGAAGAACAAGGGTACAGTCCAGGTTGTGTCAGTTCAAGAAGCTCTGGTAGCTTCTGCACAACAGGTTACAAGTCAGCCTAGCAACACAGAGTTCTCTTCGACAGATGTTGCTTAGTCCTCAGCAGAATCAGACTGATTGCTCAACAACAGAGTGATGGTCTTCAAATGCAGCAACCTAGTGATTCTACTCAACAAAAGTTGTTGTTTACATCCTTACTTTACTCAAATAAGGCGAAACGTCGTGGTGACTCAAAATATAATCAATTAATTCAATTCAATTAAATTTAAAAGAGTTTTAAGAAACAAACTTATGACTCGCCACCTAATTTTAGGAAAACTAGGAAACCAATCAATTAATTAACAAAAAATATCTATGAAACCAATAGATTAGGTAAGGGTTCAAGTGATTCCGAAGAGAAAGTATTAAACACCCTTCAAAATCCACAATTATGGGTCCCGAATGAATTCATTATTTCAAATTGAGGAGATAAAAGCAATATACAAGTATAATAAACATGTGATATACACAAATAATAAAATAAAAGAATAATATAAGAAAGGATCTAAGGTTTGCCTAACGTCAATAATATACACAATAATGAATATTAATATTCGAACTTCATTCGTATAGCTTCCTGGGAAAGCAACTCTAGGGTACATGTAAATACACTTAGTAAAGTGTTAGTAATGAATAAATATGAATCAAGATAAATAATATATAATAACTTAAGATAAAACTCGTATTATTAACATGGAAGGCCTTCAATATCGATGGTAATTTCTTCATCAGCCAATTGTAACATACAAAGTTCATGAACTTAAACTAAATTTTCGTCATTTAAAATGAGGAGGCCTTGAAAACCGACAGAGAGATTAGGGATTTTTTCATTGGTCAATTTTATAATATCCAAGTCAAAAATATTAAAAGTGCAAGATGATAAAACTGAAACTATTTGAAGAAAATCTCATGACAAAGCGAATAGTGAGAAATTAACTTAAGAAGTAATGCAAAAGGCATTGACATAAGTCAACCTAAAGTTAAAATAGTGGGGAAAAAAACTCAACAACAAAAGTAAAAATGACCAAATAACGTGTTGGAATTATGCCCTCCTTAATTCTTCTAAGGAATACGTAGGAGTTACTTGTTCCTTAGTTCGTTTGTAGTTTCAAGTTAAATACGTACATAACACAATAGCTCAGTAATAATTAACTCGATTAATTATTAATTCACAACTTCAAACTACAAAAGATTACACACCTATGTAGCCTATGAAATTATAAGCTCTAATTCCAAACTCAAAAACACAAAACCCCCAAGTTTTGTATTTACCCAGATCTTAAACGTTCCCCAACCAACAGACCAACAATAGTAGGAAACCCCTAGTGACTAATACCTACAGATTACTAGTCGACTTAAACAAAACAGAATAAGCCCTTCAATTTTGTTCTCATCAATAACTCACAACTCGACAATCAGATTTCTCTCACTTTGTAAATCAATTCAGCTTGGATCTCTCTTTGTAAGTGCACACCTTTCTTTGAGAGAACCCTTCTTCTTTTATAGACAAAAAAATCTTTCCTTCGTTGACTCCAACTTGGTAAACTTTTAGTGACTTCTTCTCCTTGTATGACTCGGACTTCTCTTTCTGTGTGCAACTTGAACGCCTAACAATATTGTATTTATTTTCCGCCTCAACATAATTCTTTTTCCCAGTTCCAGTTGGATTAGGCCTTTTAAGATCATGGTTGTGGAACAGGTTTGTTGTGATTTGTCGTTCGTCAAAACCTATCTTGATCTAACATAATGCAGTAACAAAATTTGCACAAAATAGCTGGAAAAAAAATTAAAAATAATGCAAATCAATGTTAAGCAAGTCAAGATAATAATCTATATCACCCCACAAACAATAATGGCCAGCAAAAATAAAATACAATAAACAAGAACCCAAAAGTCCACCAACAACAGTTAACTTGGCCAATTTAATTGGAGTTCTGCCAAAGAAACACAACTCACCAAAAAGTGCAAAATCGATTTAAACACAAAATTTAATAATAATACAGTGAAATAGATGATAATGAGATAATAATACAGTGAAATAGATGATAATGAGAATAATCAACAATGATCAAAATACAGTAGATTATGCAAAACAAACACAAAATAAGGATTTATTAAACAAAAAGAATGGAAAAAGAGATCTAGCTTACTGTCTGTTGTAGTGTGTTGCTCGAGTTTGGAGCTTGCTGGTCGTCTTATTTTCGACGTGGGTGGTTGGATCACGAGTTCGTCGGAGCTCGGAGCTCGGAGCTCGTTGGTTCGCCGGAGATTATGTCGCGGCAGTTGGGTTTCGCCGGTTGTTTGTCGCGAGTTCACTGGAGTCTGTTTGGTTGCTCACTAGCTCACCGGAGCTCGTGGCGTTGTTGTTGTTGTCGACTGTTAACTGGAGCCAAAAGCTCGCTGGAGAAAGAGGTTCGGTGGAGTTCGTTTGCTGTATTTGTTGTTCGTTGCTGGATAATTGGAGAAGGAGGGGTTGTGTGGTTACTCCGGTGGTGAAGGTGTTTGGGTGGTGGTGGCGGCTGTGTTAGGTTGTGATGGAGAAGTGAGGGCTGGGTCGTTTTCTGGTGGGTCTGGTTTTGTGGGAAATGGGGTCGTTTGGGTTGTTTACTGGTGGGGTTCTGGTGGTTTCAAGTTGTATTTTGGCCGGAGAAGAGAGGTGGATGGTGGCGGCAGCTTTAAGGGTAAATGAAAGAAAAACCTTTTTTTAAGCTTTTATCCACCCCAACTTTATTATTATTTTAATAAGGACTTAATTTAACATATACTTTAACAAAGTGTAATTAATGACATTTTAAAAAAAACATACAATTTAACAAAAAAATAATGATTTAATCGGAAAGAGATAATATTCTCAACATATCCATGTTCAACTAAATATGACAAAACCAATGTAATTAAAATTAATTGATAAAAGATTAAAAAGTTTGAGAAATAAGAATAAGGATCGATAAACTTATTTAAAATTATAAAAAAAATATACTTTGACCTATTGAGGAATAAAACTTAAAAGTTATGAATTTTAAAAATGTTAGATAAGAGTGTCAATAATCATAAGATTCAAAATTCTTTTTTATTTTTTAGAACTCCATGTCAAAGCAAAATAGGCCTAACAAATTGAAGAAAGCACTAAGAAGTACATTTTATGTAGCTTCCGAATAAATAATTTTAAAAATATTATTAGTTATATTTTTTATTCCATCATTTTTGTTTTGCAAGAACGGAGTTCTGTTAGCCTAATCCGAAGATGTGATATAAGTTAGCTCTTAAGATAAAAAAATTGAAATATGAAATAAAATAAGGTATAAAAAAATAAAAATAAGAGTCTCACTCTCTTGTAAGAGTTTGAGACCACTAAATATGTCATGTGACGAAATATATTTAAGTTCAATTAGTTAAGTAGATGAATAATTTTTAATTGGAGACAGACATAATAATTTATGCCAAGTTCAAGAAGTGTTTTTAATGTAGCATTAACATTCAACATTCAACATTTGAGGAGTAACATGTTTTTCAAATTGGAAATATACCTTCAAGTTGAACAAAGTCAAACATCAATTTTCAAATAAAGTGAAAATATTTAAATGGGTCCTAAAAGTAGAAGTTAAAAAGATACCCCTGAGTCCCTAATTACTTGTTCATTTTTCCTTTTATAGTTATCTCTAATTACTTGTTCATTTTAACAAATCAAGAAAAGACAATTTTTTTTACCTATTATACCCTCAATTAAATGACTAATTACTTTGAAAACTGCAGAACTTTTCATCCACTTCATAATTAATAGGGGTAAAATGATAAACTCACTATGTCATTAATTAATTTTTTAATAGGTATGCCAATTCAAAAGTTGACAAGTAATTAGGGACAGAAGGAGTACAAAACATGTGGTCCAAACCACTATTTTTTTTGTAGTTCTCCAATCTTTTAAAATAAATTTACTAAAAATAAAATATCTAATTTAGATTCAAAATGAATATTTAAACACTAAAAGGCGTAAAACTTTATGTTTGGTAAAAAATTAGATGTTCACAATCATGAACATGATTTATGAAATATGTGGCTTATTTTGGCTCATATACATGCTAGTTGATGATTTTACTCCTCCTTACAAATTTAGAGTTAGGATTAGAGTAATACTTCATACGATCGTTGTGCAAGTTGTATATCAAACTGTTTTGAAGTGTTGATATAGATTACAAATTAAAGTTGAAAAACGAGAATAAAGTGATAAAAAGGAACAATTAGTTGTACTGAAGAACTAATTGTTTGCAGGGCCAAAGACTTCACATATTTAGTTATGGAGAGGAACAATTAGTTTTAAAATATGAACAAGTTAAGCGAGTCAATAAAATATGGGCTCATTTTACCTGTAGTATGTTGAAGGAATTGTTGTTGCCTTTAGCTCC